GGATATACACAACAAAATACGAGTAATGTTAAAAAGACTAAATTTGTAGATAAAATTTGCAAACTAAATAATGTGTCACTAGTAAAAATCATCACGTTTATCAAAGTTTAAGTCATAATTTAATTATCAACTTTCATATCATTTAGTTTACAAAATTTTATTTACAAATTTAATTTTACTCACATTATCCAAAGAACAAGTAATGGGAACTTTACCACGCCAGTAGAGAAAAGAAAAAATAAATAAAAAAAGCTCCGCCACTCTAAGTTATAAGAGAAGATAAAGGTTTTAAGTTACAATTACGGTCACTTGATACCATTAGTGTATAATTTAGTAGTACTTTTATACGTTTGTAAGATTTCTTAAATGAAATCCAACGTTAAGGGGATCAGCTTTTGTGCATCTCTAGCATTGGACAGTGCCGTGGTAGACTGGTAGATATAGCTGGCATTCATCAATTATTACTCAATGATTTAAATGATTCTCTTCAACGGTTCCAATTTCTCGATCCGAAAGTTCCAAACATAAAAATTCAAAATAGATCTGATTCCCAATGAAAGGCCCTTTTCGTGGCTGGCCGGCAGCCAGCCTACAAAAGTCGACCATAATTGGAAAAGTTGCACATTGCAATAATTTGTAAAGTTGCATCGTAATGATTTGGAAAGTTGCATCCTAAAGTGGAGACAAAAATGGCTATTGTACAAAACTGCGTTTTCATTTCGGTCAGGATTCTCGCATGAAATTATTTTTTTTTGGTGTCTTCTGATAATGTAACATTCCAGAAAAATACTGTTGCACTTCAATTATATTAGACACCCACATAAGTCTTGAATGGTCGAGGCATGCTTTAAAAGAAATGAATTATTATCGAGCTATATTATTAGAAATAACAAGTATGTCTATATATTCATAAGTTTTGTATCTGAAACGAGTTTTTAAGAAATTGCTTGGGTTAAAGAAAAGCCGTTTTCGAGAGTAGTTTCGATTGATTGAAAGGTTTGAAAGAGAACGTTGTTCTAGGGGATGATACATGTTGTTACCAGATTCAAAGGATTAGTCCATCCTTCAAGCCCACATAAGTCTTAATAAAATGACAAAAGGAAAGTCAAATATTTGAAGTAAATGAATAATCTTAAATTATGCTAAAAGAAACCTCTCATAAATCAATTAAAGCAGCTGAATTCATATAATAAAATCAATCTCTATAGAATTTACATTAGGAATAGAGAAAATAATATTTAATAAACAGATGATTGAATCACATTATTGCTAGTTCATTGTGAGGCTAAGCCCACCACCTCCCCCTTAGTGTAGATAATATCGTTTGTTAAAAAAAAAAATCTTTTGACAACTAATTTAATCACATTATTATCCGCGTGTGAAATAATTTTTTATAACCGGCATTACACGCATCTTAAGATGTTTTGGACGTGTTTAAAAAAAAAAAATTTAATCACGTTATTACTAGTCTATTGTGAGGTACTAACTAAAAAAATCACAAAAAATTAATTATTAAAAAACATTAGTAAAATGACAAAAATGCCCTTACCTTATTTGATGCATTATTTTGGGATATCTTTGAATTTTTTGTCTTGGGGGAATTTTGTCTAAATTTTTTGTTGAAGTTTGGTGACACCAAAAACACTATTCACTTTTTGTGTTGGCTTTATATATAGATTACTAGCCTACCAGCTTGAAATAAGTGTTGAAAGATGGCTACTACATTGTTTTGATTCTATTTTCTTGCTTAGCTTACAAGTTAAGTTGGAAAAAGTGTGCGCCACTAGACTTTGCGATGGTCAAACTATTAGCTTTATAAGGTTATACAATTAAAACACAAAGGAATGAGTGACAAACCTGATTCCAGTTGTAACCATGGTACTCGAGTAAGGAAGGAGAAAGGGCACGGCGGCACCAATGTCTTCTATAAACTCCTAGCATAATACAACTACTCCATGGGAAGCATTATGTTGTGTGTTCTAGGGCTTATAGGGACTGGTGTTTTTATATAGGCTAGAAGTTAGGGTTTCCATCCATAAAGGAAACCTAAACTTACTTTCTTAGCCTCCAAGTCAAGTACCATAATCATATTCAATTAAGGATTCCATCAATCCTATTTACAATATAAGATACCTTATATAGGATTGATATCTTTAAGAGATCAAATCACAATCAACATTATTCTCCAATATTACATTCCTATTACATGCAGTAGACCACTTAAATGTTGATTTATATTGGATAAATCCAACACAAACTAGAGTTGGAAATTGCCATCTAAATAGTTTTAGCAGTTTGGATTTCAAATTAGAAACATTTTTTCAAAATATCAAACTGATGCAGGGTGCAACAGCTAAAAACAAAATAAAATGAAAAGAAAAATTGATATGCAGGGTCCATTATTTCCTAGTGCAAGGAGAGACCTGAAAACCCCAAAACCCCGTCTCTAGTACCAACCTACAACATAGACAACTAGAAGAATAAAGTTGAACAATCTCACAAACAAAAAGGCACAAACTGAGAAAAAAATCTCTCTGCATATTTCATTCATTCAAAAAAGGTCTAACATCCCCACCTTCCAGCAAGAAGTGGGTTTTATCATCAACTTGTAACTTACATTCAGAAATTAAAAGGGCAATAAACTTAATAACACTGAAAATTTAAAATTACATAAAGAAAGGCTATTATCAACAATAAAAACGTCATGGCTGTTATGATCAGCCAAAAAAAGGCCCCAAGCTGTTATTGAGTTTATTAAGTCTTACTTAATAATGTTAAGCATTCAATTTATCCCAACGATCCATAAATGAACTAGCCATCAGATTTGCATTATCCTCTCTGGGTTGGAGAAAATTCACCTTCGAATTTGCATTTCTAGTATCTTCGTTGTCCACTTTGAATGGAATGAGATGTTTCACATTGAACACATTAGAAGTACGAATATGGCTAGGTAACTTCAGATGATAAGCATTGAGGTTAATATTTTCAAGAATTTCATATGGCCCAATCTTCCTTGCAAACAGTTTATTGGAATCTCCAATTGAAAAACAATCCTTCGTCAAAACTGCCCAAACAAATTCTCCCACATCAAACTCCACCATTCGCCTTTTGGAATTTGCATGAGCTTTGTATTTCTGACTTGTTCCTTAAAGGTGCTTATGCGTTATGTTATTGATTTGCATGACATTATCAACGAAACTTTCATCTTTGCCACTAATTCTTTTCGCATTTGGTACAGGAGTAAGATCAACTGGTGCTAGTGGAATTAAGCCAAAGACAATGTAGAAATGACACATTTCGGTGCTGCAATTGACGGAACAATAGTAGGCGAACTCCACAATACATAACTTATGGTCCAATGACTTTAGATGTTAACCAACTAAGCAACGCAAAAGGTCCCCTAATTAGCGATTCACAACTTCAGTTTGCCCATCAGGTTGAGGATGAGGCATTGCTAAAATTCAATTGTGTATTAGCTACTTTCCGCAGGCTCCTCAAAAAATGACTCAGAAATTTGGTGTTCCGATCAGAAACAATCGATCTTGGTAACTCATGAATTCGATATACATCATGAAAGAATAACTCAACAACTTTCGAAGCATCCATTGTCTTCTTGCAGACAATAAAGTGAGCCATCTTGGAAAATCGATCCATTACAACAAAAATTAAGTCTACACCGCACTGAGTACAAGGCAAACCTGAAACAAAATCCATGCTTATATCCACCCATGGTTGTGATGGAATGGGTAATGGCATGTATAATCCAGCGTTTGCCGCTTTGCCTTTAGAAGCTTGGCAGATTCGACATCGTTCCACAAAACGATATACATATTTACGCATGGTAGGCCAGAAATAAGAGAAAGAAATAAGCTCAGGGTCTTGTCCCTTCCAATGTGGCCTTCATTATGTAACTCTTGTATGATCCTCAATCTTAAACTAGACTCTGGTATGCAAAGTTGGTTCCCTTTAAAAAGAAACCCATCATGCAACACATATTATGTTATAGTTCCATGGTTAACATCTTTAACAAATGTAGAGAAGAAAGGATCAGTTTTCAATAAATCCTTCAAAGAGTCAAACCCCAATACTTAAATTCTTATCGAGCCAAGTAAATACTTCCTCCGACTCAAAGCACCTGCAACTTGATTTTGCACACCGGCTTTGTGCTTTAAGACGAATGTAAATTCTTGCAACTATGTTGCCTACTTAGCATGCCTCGTTGGCAATTTTTCCTAATTGTTTATATGCTTTAAAGAGTCATGATCGGAGAACATAACAAACTCTTTGTAGATCAAATAATGCCTCCAATACTGCAATGCTTGAACAATGGCATAGAATTCCAAGTTGTTTGTGGAATAATTCAACGTTGAATGATGAGTCCATATTATGCCATATATTTCACCATATTCTTAGTTATAGTTAGCAAAGTCCTGGTGGAACAATTATTACTTTATTTATAACAATAACTAAACTTTACTTTCTTTTTTTTAGAACAAAAAAAAACAAAAAACAAAAAAAAAAAGAACTCAAATGAAAGCAAGTGCTTCAATCTCACCCCCAAAAATCATGTTGGTGTGAATGTGCTAATTGTCAAAGGATAACTCATGAATTAGTACCTAAACAACAATAAATAGAAAATACTCTACCGTGGGGTTCATCTCCACCATGTTCATTTGTTCTAACGTTTAAAATAATATATGAATATAAACTTAAAAATAATGAAAAAATTTAGCATACTTAAAAATAAAAAATCTAAATATTTTACTTTCCCACCTCAAACTTAAATCACACATGGTTCTCAAGATGTGGAAAAAATAAAGAAAGAAAACAAAAATATTAAAACCTTAAAAACCGAAAAATAGCTAACAAAGACAAAGAAAATAAACTGGGGAATAGAAATAGAAAAAAGAAACAATGAAAGAAAGTATAAAATAACAAAGGAAACATAAACAGAAATAAAAGAAAAGACAAGGAAACTGACACACCTGGGATTCGAAGTGGTGACGTGGTGACAAGAAACAGAGGCGCTGGAAAATATTGGAAAAAAGCGATATTTCAGTGCTCTGGTGTCTGGAGAGTTGGAAAACCTCTCCCAACTAGCGCCGCTTGAGAACCTCTCCCTGTAACCCTCGAGCCCAGAGCCGATAAAGCCATCTCCTTCGTTTCCTCTCTCTCTTTTCATTTCTCATAGAACCGAAACCCTAGCTTCTATCTTCAACACAGAACGTCAAAACATGAATCCATCTCCATCCCTGTCAAAAACGGAACCCAGCCATGGCGATCTTTGATTCTAGCCCAGATTGTCACCATCGTGCATTCCTCTGCGAAACCCGAGGTAAAGATCTCTCATTCTCTCTGCGATTATGGTCTCTACTTGGCGATATCTGAAATACAAATGCATCCAACCATTTTTCCCTTCCGTCAAACGGAAGGTCAAATGAAAACGAAATTCTGACTGATGCATGTATGTTTTCTGTGTGTAGACTTGGGGATCCGACTAAGGCCAGGGGGCATAGGAACTGCAAGGAGCAATGGCTCACAAATGAAGGTGCTGTACACACAGCATAGATGGCTGCAAGAACTCGGATCTACAAAATGAAAGGTAAATCAAATCCCTCCACTGCGTTAAAATTAAGCATGGTTTAATATCTCTGAAAGTCATACAGATTTGTGAAATGTTTCTGTCATGCATTTATAGACCTAAAATTTTGTCAATGCTCATGTAATTTTCTGTGTGCTTGCATGCCTCCATGTGACAAATATTGAGACAAAAACTGTGCATGACACTGGATCTGTGACATGGCTTTGATGAATGTCCACCTCTGTGTTGCCTGGACCAACAATATTTTAATGAAATATGAGAGCGAGGGAGCGAAAGGTAAATGTTGATGAATGCTCAGATAAATGTTGATGAATGGATGACCGATGAATGCATATTTTTGTATCTTTATTGTTTCGTTTATAGAAGAGTAAGGTTTATGTCCCTCTTCTTTTTCATGTATTACGAGAAGTTAGGTTTATGTCCTCCTAATTATGTGTAACTTACTTTATGTTATTAATAAAATTCTCCTCGTACCGTCAAGGTTTTCTAAAAAAATAAAATAAAAAAAGCAATAAACAACTATGGAACGCTTCCCCTTTTCAACCAGGGATAAACCTCTCAACATAGAGCAGGAATTCCAATATAGGTTTGAAATTTGATGAATACTTTCCACAACTTTGTTTTTTAATTTTTATTTGTAATTCTTTCAGAGTGTTCGTCCTGTAATGTTTGGCAAAGCCAGAATGTCATTGTTCAAGCATAATTCGATGCAAATAAGTTTGTTTGGCAAGCATTGATCAACTAGCCATTTGCACTGCATTTTTTATCTAACAAATACGGGAACGCTTTCACATAACATCAATACTATTACATGTTATACCACATATTAACAATAAGCTTCTATTTGCATATACCATTTGCTTGAAGTTTGTTTCTGATCCGACACATATGTGCCACAGCATCACAGATGTTCAGTCTTTCTCTAGGCAAATCCGCTGAGCAAGCAACACCAATTTCTAGAACAGAGATTAAACTTTCTATGATTAGGACGCGATTGCTTGCCCTCCCCTCATTAGGATGATTGCTCTCTTGAACAAGAACGGGATCCAAAACCTCTTCCACTTGCTCAGGCAGAGCTGCCTTCACAAAGCTATAAAGGTTTGAAGTTCCTTGAAACATGTCATCGGTCGGTCTTTTACCTGTAAATATTTCGAACAGGAGGATGCCAAAGCTGTACACATCACCTTGTGTCCACACTTCATGTCCCATGCCATATTCTGCATTCCACAATTCAAAACATTAGATTCTAATTTTCTAGTGAAGTGCTAAAAGCTCATTTCATGTTTGAAAATTTTAAAATAAATACTGCACAATTTTAAAATACTAGCTAGGGAAAAATAAACCACCAAGTGTATTTACCTGGAGGAGCATAACCAATAGTTCCCTTGATCCCTAAAGAGCCTGATTGATTTCCCGAAGAATTTTTTCATTTCTTTCGTCAACATACCTTGAATATAGTGGGTTGTCCATTTCAATCCAATCTTAGAGACTAAATGAGGCCACAATTTTTTCATTTCTTTCCTGAACATACCTTGGATATAGGTTCGTATATATCAACATGCTTCAAAAATCTTAATTTACAAGTTTCTTCTGTTTACCACTTTTCTTTATAGGGACATGACTTGATAACATTGCACATATGCACTGCAGGGAACATAGATAAAATTGGAAAGTTTCGTTTATAAAAGACAATGAAACCGACACACCTGGCATTCGAAGTGGTGACCTGCTGACAAGAAATAAACAGAGGCGCTGGAAAATATTGGAAAAAGAAGCAAAATTTCAGTGCTCTGGAGAGTTGAACCCGTGACAGGAAACATGAACTAGAGGCCCGTTTCCACATCTCTCCTAACTAGCGCCGTACCCGCGACCCCAGAGCCGTGAAAGCTATCTCTTTCATTTCCTCTTTCCCTTCATTTCTCATGGAACTGAAACCCTAGCTTCTATCATCAACCCAGAACGTCAAAACATGAATCCATCTCCATCTCTGTCACAAACGGAACCCAGCCATGGCGATCTTTGATTCTAGCCCAGATTGTCACCATCGTGCATTCCTCTCCGAAAACCGAGGTAAAGATCTCTCATTCTCTCTGCGATTATGGTCTCCACTTGGCGATATCTGAAATAAAAATGCATCCAACCATTTCTCCCTTTCGTTTTCACAACCGAAGCTCAAATGAAAACGGAATTCTGACTCACGCATGTATGTTTTCTGTATGTAGACTTGGGGATCCGAGTAAGGCCAAGGGGAATAGGAACTGCAAGGAGCAATGGCTCACAATTGAAGGTGCTGTACACACAGCAAAGATGGCTGCAAGAACTCGGATCTACAAAATGAAAGGTAAATCAAATCCCTCCACTGCGTTAAAATTAAGCATGGTTTAATATCTCTGAAAGTCATACGGATTTGTGAAATGTTTCTCTCATGCATTTATAGACCTAAAATTTCGTCAATGCTCATGTAATTTTCTGTGACATGGCTTTGATGAATGCCCACCTCTGTGTTGCCTGGACCACCCCCAAACTATATGTAAAACAATATTTTAATGAAATATGAGAGTGAGCGAGCGAAAGATAAATGTTGATGACTGGATGATGAATGCTCACATAAATGTTGATGAATGGATGACTGATGAATGCGTATTTTCGTATCTTTATTGTTTCGTTTATAGAAGAGTAAGGTTTATATACCCCTTTTTTTTCATGTATTTTTTATTCTTTTTTCTTGTATTACGAGGAATTAGGTTTATGTCCCCCCTAACTAGGTGTAACTTACTTTTTGTTATTAATAAAATTCTCCTCGTACCGTCTAGGTTTTCTAAAAAAATAAAACAAAAAAAGCAATAAACTACCATGGAACGCTTCCCATTTTCAACCAGGGTTAAGCCTCTCAACAGAGAGTAGGAAATCCAACATAGGTTTGAAATTTGATGAATACTTTTGACAACTTTCTTTTTTTAAATTTTATTTTTAATTCTTTCAGAGTGTTCGTCCTGTAATGTTTGGCAAAGCTAGAATGTCATTGTTCAAGCATAATTCGATGCAAATAAGTTTGTTTGGCAAACATTGATCAACTAGCCATTTGCACTGCATTTTTTATCTAACAAATACGAGAACGCTTTCACATAACATCAATACTATTACATGCTATACCACATATTAACAATAAGCTTCTATTCGCATATACCATTTGCTCGAAGTTTGTTTCTGATCCGACACATATGTGCCACAGCATCACAGATGTTCAATCTTTCTCTAGGCAACTCCGCTGAGCAAGCAACACCAATTTCTAAAACAGAGATTAAACTTTCTATGATTAGGATGCGATTCCTTGCCCTCCCCTCATTAGGATGATTGCTCTCTTGAACAAGAACGGGATCCAAAACCTCTTCCACTTGCTCAAGCAGAGCTGCCTTCACAAAGCTATAAAGGTTTGAAGTTCCTTGAAACATGTCATCGGTCGGTCTTTTTCCTGTAAATATTTCCAACAGGAGGATGCCAAAGCTGTACACATCACCTTGTGTCCACACTTCATGTCCCATGCCATATTCTGCATTCCACAATTCAGAACATTAGATTCTAATTTTTTGGTGAAGTGTTAAAAGTTCATTTCATGTTTGAAAATTTTAAAATAAATACTGCACAATTTTAAAATACTAGCTAGGGAAAAATAAACCACCAAGTGTATTTACCTGGAGGAGCATAACCAATAGTTCCCTTGATCCCTAAAGAGCTTGATTGATTTCTCGAAGAATTTTCAGCAGCTTTTGGTAGGAACCTCACCAACCCGAAGTCACCTACATGTGCAACCATGTCCTCATTGAGAAGAATATTGCTGGGTTTGAGGTCGCAATGAACTATTGGCGTCTCACAATGATGATGGAGATAATCCAATGCCGTAGCAACATCAATAACAATATTCAACCTCTGAGAAATTGTTAAGCTCCTTGGCCTCTCATTTGTCTCACCAATTGTATGAATTGGATACAGACATTCCTCCAAGCTCCCGTTAACCATGAACTCATAAATTAAGGCCTTGAAGTCGTGACCGCGATAATCAAAACCAGAACATGCTGAGAGTACCTTGACAAGATTACGGTGTCTAATATTTTTGAAAGCCTCGCACTCAGCAATAAAACTTTTGTAAGCTCCGCGACGAACGAGGTTGAGTACCTTGATGGCAACTGTAGTTTCACCTTGCTCAAATACTCCTTTATAAACGGACCCAAAACTGCCCATACCGACCAAGTTGGTTGAGGAGAATCCATTTGTTGCCTTTAGAAGACTTTGGTAAGACACCTGGGGAAATTTGTCCGAATCAGTTGCAGCTTGACCCTTTTTGTCCCTCCGTGAGCAATAAAGGTACAAAAAGGTTAGTGCAAAAATGACTCCAAGAATCCCACAAACGAGGGAGAGAACCAATTTCATGGTTAAGCTCAATCCTTTCTTTTTTGCATGCTGGAGTTTGCACTTTGGCAAATGAAACTCAGGTATGCCCCCACAAAGCTTGCTATTTCCTTCAACTGATGTCGCCGTTGCATTCTTGAACACTCCTTTGATCGGCAACATGCCCTCAAAATTGTTATAAGATAGATTCAGAGATTCCAAAAATACAAAACCTTCTAAGAATTCTGGAATGGTGCCTGACAAGTTGTTGTGAGAAAGATACAATTTTGAAAGACCTCTTAGTGAACTCAAAGTTGATGGAATTGTCCCATTGAAGAAATTTCCATGCATGTCTAGGTACTCTAATTTTATACAACTAACAAGACTAGCCGGAATTTCACCGAATAACATGTTATCAGAGATATCTAAATACTCTAGATTTATTAAAATTCCTATGTTCTCTGGCAGGGTGCCTATAAACTGATTTTGTCCTAAACTCAAATCATACAAGTTCAGCAGACCAAACATTTCTTGCGATATGATACCGCTGAAATTGTTGGCACCAAGATGTAAGATCCTCAAATTCTGACACTCTGCTAAACTCGGCGGGATATTGCCTTGAAGTTTGTTGCCTGCTAAGCTTAACACATTTAATTGACTTAAATTTCTGAAAGAGGATGGAAGATTGCCAGAGAGAGAGTTCCCATCAAAAGTTAATTGATATAACTTGTGCAGCTTTCCCAGACCAGGAGGAATGTGACCTGAAATTTGGTTCTCGTCCATCCCCAAAAGCTCTAAGTTAGACAGATTTACAATCTCATTCGGGATACTTCCTAATATTTTATTTTGCGCTATAATGAAGACTTGAAGAGAAGAAGACAGGTTTCCTATGCACTGAGGTAACGTGCCCCAAAAATTGTTGGTAAATATTGGGAGAATTTCTAAATGGGTGGCGTTGGTCAAATCGCAGAGAAAGGTCAAGTCATCAATTCCCCCACTTCCGAGATGGTTGTCACCAAGGATTAACCACTCAAGCTTATGCAAATTCGTCAATGGAGGGACTTTTCCATGCAGGTGGTTACCTCCGATCCCCAATCTAAATAGATTTGAGGCATTTGATAATGAAACAGGAATAGATCCACTGAATTGGTTCTCGGAAATAGAAAATGTTTGGAGACTCGGAAAGACCATACCTAAGTTTGAGGGTAGACTCCCTTGGATTTCATTCTCTCCCATATTAAGGTCTATGAGAGAAGAGAGATTAAAGATTGAGGGAGGAAGCATACCCGAAAAGCTATTTACTTCAAAAGCAAGAAAGCTAAGATTGGTCATTCGGCCAAAAATATCCGGGAAAGTGCCACTCAAATTATTAGAATAGGCGGAGAACACTTCAAGAGATGATAAATTGCTAAAAGAAGTAGGGACTCCCCCTGTAAAGTGGTTATGGTGGATGGCAAAACCTTTTAACTTTGACAAGAGGCCAAGCTCCTTTGGAATCTTTCCCATCAGCACATTGAAACTAATAGCGAGCCCGAGGAGCTGAGAGCAACGCGACAAGTTAGTGGGAATTTCTCCACTCAGTGAATTGTTGTTTAACCGCAGACTTCGCAATCTGCGTAGGCGGCCGAATTCTGGAGGAATTTCGTGGCCTAAGCTGTTTTCTTGGAGATCAATGACTCTCAAAAAACTCAAGTTCCCAACATGCGGCGACATAGATCCTCCAAGTTTCAAGGACCGCAGGCTCAAGCTTGTGACCCTCTTACGACGACGACCACATGTAACGCCATGCCAAGAGCAAAAGTGGATGGTTTCATTCCATGAAGTCAGGACTTTAAAAGGGTCATGAGTTATGCTAGCCTTGATTTCAAGCAAAGCGAGTCTATCTGTCTCATTTCCCAGAAGGGCGAAACAAGGAAGGCAAGAGTGAAGAATGAAAGCATGCATTAAAAAGGATGACAAAAACACTGCAGAAATGGAGTTGCAAAACCCCATCCCCATGATGATGCTATCTATAAAAGAGTATTGCAGGACTGATGGTTTGTATACCAGCTTTAGCAGAATCCAATTTATAATCATAACCAGAGTGCTCTGTACGCATGCAGTGGATCTACAGCCACCGATATCGTAGTCGATGAGGGATAGCATTGACCTGACCAAAAAAGTCTCTCTCTTTTCTTTTTAACTTAATTTTATGAATAAATTCAATTTACATCTAATTTTGTGAACTAATATTAGGAATATTCACTTTTTTGAAAATTATTGTATTCATTCTTCTTTATTTTTTTTAACGAACAATATTATTTACATTAAAGGATGAAGAGTGGGTTAAGCATCACGATGTGCTATCAATAATGTGGTTCAAATTTGTCTTTGATGAAAATTGAACCTAAGACCTCTCACTTCCAATGAAGAGGAATATTATTAGACCGTAATAATAAGTGGCATATTCATACTTTAACTTAAAACAAATGAAAAAAAAAGAGAGAGAGATTGGTTTTGTGTGAAATTTTCTCTTTGATTATAAACAGTATGACACAGTGACTTGCTTGATGAATGTGTTCTTGTTGAAATTTTTTTATGGATACCAAAAATACAAGTTATGTAGCATATTATTATATGTGTTATAATAAAGGTTGGCAACAATGTTGACGTATGTCACATTTTGGGTATATTAATAAAATAAAAAATTTACGTTTTATATTTGAGTGAAATAATAACATCACATAATCGTGTTCGAATGCATAAAAAATGCTCATTCTTGTTCATCGATAGTATGAAAAAAAAAAAAGTATTTATCTTTGGTTTTGTACAATTACAATTGCTAATTTTGGTGTAGTGTCGTGTCATTTATTTATGCCAACAAATAGTGTAGGTCTTCTGACCCTCTCCTTCCGGATTGGTGCGTGTTTGCGTCTCGTGATTGGATTGAGGATATACACAAAAGAATACGGTAATGATAAGAAGACTAAATTTATAGATAAAATTTATAAACTAAATGATACATCACTAATAAGAATCATCATGTTTATCAAAGCTTAATTCATAATTCAATTATCAACTTTCATATTATTTAGTTTACAAAATTTTACTTGTAAACTTAATTTCCCTAACATTATCCAAAGAACAAGTAATGGAAACATTACCACACCAAAATAAATAAATAAAAGCTCCGCTACTCTAGTTCCAGATTATCAACTTTCAACTTTCAAGTATGGTCGTGTTCGAATACATAAAAAATTGCTTGTTCCTGTTCATATCGATAGTATGCCAATAAAACAATAGTTAGCTTTGGTATTGTACAATGACAATTCCTAATTTTGATGCATTATTGTGTCATTTGTTTATGCCAACAAATAATGTTCGTCCTCACTCCTCTAGTTCCAGATTGGGTGCGGGCTTGCGTCTTGTGAATGGATTGAGGATATACACAAAAGAATAGGTAATGGGAGTTTAGGTATGGGCAAGGCTGAGATCAAACAACCAATGCGGCAGAGGCGGCTTTGGGGGACCAAAAGGTGTAATTGTACATGGTTCCAAATTTATTTGAAAGGACTTTAATATTTATGTTAAAAAAAAAAACTAAAGAGAGTCGCAAGATTATAGCAAGCCGTATTACGCACGAAAGCCGTATTGTCTAAAGGGGTAAGATGAAGCTAAGGGTCCCGAGGTTAGCATTCAAAACTTTCTACGTACTTTTTTGAGATAGCATTTGGTCTTAGGATTGGTACTAATGAAGTGATCAAAGCCACTTCCTGTTCTCTAGCCGCGTCTAACCACTATGAGTCATTAGAAAAAGATCCAACTGTTTTTTTTAATAAAAGGGGACCAGCCGGTGACTTTGCCACGACAATCCATTCTTCCGGGGGTAGGGAAGACTCACATAGGCATTTCAGCCTCCCCCTAGCCACCATCGTGCGATTCACCAGCGCTAGGAATCGAACCCAAGACATGTCGTGTGGAATAGGGTCTAAAATTCATCCCCAACCACTGGGTCACCCCATGGTGGTTGAAAAAGATCCAACTGAGCCACCTGAAATGTAATTATTTTTGTTTCTTCCAGTAACTCGTATAGGGAAAGAATGACACGTAGACTGCTATCAGAGTCTGAAATACTAGTAAATAATAACATAACCAACTTCCGTAAATAGCCAAACAAGGCATGCCCAAGTCGCTGATGCCTTAACTAAATCTTCTTAATCTTGTCACCATTCCCACTACGTACCTGATTTACTCTGCTAGGAGCCTAGGAGCCACATCGTCGACATAATACAACCCCTTTCTTTTAGTACCATGCCTAATTACAACCCTAGTTTGGATATCCGGAAGTAAGCAAAAAAATAGAAACATTAGTACGATATAACCCAATTGATCGATAATTTGACTGACTGATAGAAGATGATTTGATAATTCCGGAAGAAGCAAGGTATTGTGTAAGGATAAAGATGAGGTGAGTGCAATTGGACCAGCCTCTGATCCGAGATAATATTTCCATTGGCAGTGACAACACCCTCTGTTGGAGGATGAAATGAGGTGAGTGCAATTGGACCAGCCTCTGATCCGAGATAATATTTCCATTGGCAGTGACAACACTCTCTGTTGGAGGATGAATCATGGATGAAAGAAAGACTCATCATGCGGCATGTGGTCACGATCTCTAGAAGCAATTTAGACATTTCTCGAATTTCCTGAATTATCTCGATCAACAGAGAGAGATACTTGATCAAAAAAAGACAATATTGTCTTCTCTCCCATGGTTGCAGTAGGCTTAGGTTTAAGATTTTCAATGTCGATTGCCAAGAACAAGCTGCACGACAAGAATTAGGATTATTGTGCTACTTAAAAAACACGAAGAGGCACCAGGTAAATTTTGGTTCTGTGTAGCATTAATGATTGTCCAAAACACAAGACAATCAACGAAGTGTAGGGCAATGACATCCAAGGAAGCTACATGACATGAATAGTATTTTGGGTTTAGGTTTTTTTTTTTTTTTTTTTCCGGGAAAAGAGACAAGCCGTGACCCTTTTTTTTTTTTTAATTTTTTTTTTTATATAGAAAACCTTGATTGTATGAGTGAAATTTTATTGATAATAAAAAAATTTCCACCTAGTCAAGATTGATGTAAACCTAACCCTTCATAATACAAGAAGAAAAAAAAAAAAAGATTGAAAACACATGAAAAGGAAGGGGGACATAATATTTTACCCTTCTAGAAACGAAAACAATAATGATACAAGGAAAAAAGAGGGGGGGGGGGCCTGAAACCTAACCCCTCCATAGCCAAACCTAAAAGTCTAAACCTGTAAAACAAATTAAGTTAGATCACAGGTTAAGAAAATAAAATAAGAAAGTGAGACAAACCTATACGTCGAGATGCACATTCATTTGAGAAGCGGAAGCCAGTAAAGCCAGCATAGTCTGAAAACAAAGCAGTACGAGCCACCAGCAAAGGGGAATCATGCCATACCAAAGTTGGAGAAGACGAACCTATATTAGCAAAGTTGTATGCAACAACATTCCCTTCGAAATATATGTGAGAGGTGTAGAAAGTCATCTTTCGAATGCGATCTAAAAAAATAGACCATTGCGTACGAAGAGGCCAGGGAGGGTCAAAAGCAGTCGATTGGAAAGCAAAAATAACACTAGAACAATCACTTTCCAGCCAAAAACAATGCCATCCCTGCTGATATGCAAACTCTACATCAATAATAATTGCTGATAATTCTGCATAGAAAGAGTTACAATGACCAATCTGATACCAAGATAAAAGTGTAAAACTTTTTTTCTTTTTTAACGGTACGAGAGAAATTTTATTGATAACGAAAAAGAAGTTACACTTTATCATTTTCCGAAGTTAAAGTTGGAGAAGACAAGCCCATGTTAGCAAAATTGTCCGCAACAAAATTTCCTTCGTGATATATGTGAGATGCGTAGTAAGTCATTTTTCAAAAATGAAACACTCCCGGTACTGTTCACTTTTAACGAAAAACCATGTTTTTACCTTTTCCTGGTACTATTCACTATACCTTTATTTGTCATTTTTCATTAAAACTAAAATATTTTTAGACTTTTCGTTAGTTTTCATTTTTGTGAATGTGGTCCAAACAAATACACCATTGCTTACGAAGAGGTCAATGAGGATCAAAATCAGACGACTAAAAAGTGTAAAACTTGATGAGAGTTTTTGGGTTTGTATTTTTGTGTTGTATTCTTCTGTCAAGTACCAGTATAAGCATATCTAGGTACACGAAATCCCCAAATTACAAAGCTATAATAAATAGGGAAGTTGACTCACGCAGAACAACATGCTGGATGGTGGATCCACACCTAGGACTATCGTAATCATTGACGCATGGTTGAATTGCCCAACACTAACAGAACTATTGAAAGTGAACGTTGGCAAAAGACTTGGAGTATGTGTCAGTTGACATGACGGTCAGCAAAGGTTTCCAAGAGTTGGAGCAATAGTGCGTACTCTTTCATACAAACATAGCCCTCTATATTTGGTCACGCCAACCTAATCCGTATGTATATTTTAGTGTACACAAAATATGGACCAGTGCATCACGTGTCATAATATAAATATAGGAATACTTCAAAAAAAAAACTTTCTTCCTGCTTCATTATGACATGTAATGTACTAACTTGTGTTATAGGTACATGGAAAAATCTCTCTTCTGAGGACTGTCAAATGTACATGGAAAAATCTCTCTTCTAAGGATTGTCAAATTTTATTGCCAATAGATGGTGGCAAAGAGGCACTGTTATAAATCATGTTCGATTCCCCATTTAAAGTAGTGGTGAAATTAGATTGTTGATTTGAATTCATGCTTTGAACGTGTAATCAAGACTTACACAACTAATTAATTTGCAAAGTAGGCCAGTAATACTTGACCTATGAGAAGCTATATCAAATCATGATGTAAAACCCAAGAAATTAAATGAAATCATCATTTTCAGATGAACTAGTTTGGCTAAAATGCATCTGTTTTCAGCTTTCAACTTGCTTTTTGGATGTACATAGCACTGGCCTACAAGTACTTTAGCTAGTGTTGGAAAATTTCTTCTGCATAATTTAGTCCAGTCAATTATTGATGGTCTCTCAGTGTTGGAAAATGGATGCATAGATGGGGAAAGAGATCCTCTCCGGATCTCTGTCCACCAAACTCAGTGAACCAGACTCTTAAAATTTGATCCAACGGCTAAAGTTATTATAACTTTTAAAGGGGCTCCTGTTTTTAGCTGTTTGATCAAATTTCAAAAGCATGGATCATTGGATTTGATGGGAGAGATTCGGACCCATAGATAGCTTTCCATTGCCAATTATTACAAGCCTACCAATTGCTTACTCAGAAGTCCTACGGGACTTGGCATCAGTCAAGCACTAGTTTGTGTATCCAATATCTGTTATTTTCCAACACTAATGATGAGTTTAAATATACGAAGAAATAGCACTTAAAGTAGTCCATAATGATTTTTTTTTTTTTTTAAAGTGCAAGTAACAACTTTGGAATTTCTTTCAACTCACTCAATCAATGGTTCGAGATTACTCATTTCATCACTGAAAGCCTTCGGTAAAATCTCATTATAGACTTTGTGTAGGTCAACTGTCAAGTATCGATCGGCTACCATTGTTGCAAAATACTTAAGTTACCGGTGTGAGAACACTTATGGTTTGTAACTCGGTATTTATATGTGCCTTTATGGGTGTGCCCTTTGATCATAGAGTACAATATGGTGTTTTGTGCTCAAAGAGGTAAGCACAAATAAAAAAAATTTGTGCCTCTGTTCTGAAAAAGTTATCAGATGACTTTCCCCATCCATATTAGCCCAATTTTTGTTATTGTGCCCAATAGGTTATATTTTGAAAATGAAAATGTCAAAATTTGAAATAAATCAGAAAATTTCATAAAATCAAGATGGAACACACAACAAAATCCAATGTCTCAGCTGTAAGAATGATCAAGTAGTAGAAATGGAAACATCACAATTCAGCAAAAAGATGTTCGCATGTTCCACAGACACAAACAAATTGTGCGCTACTGTCTATTTATAGACACTAAAAGTTTTTGTGCCTATATTTTGTCATACAATTGTCAGACCAATAATTATATATATATATATATATATATATATATGCACTACTTGGCATGGCTCCGTGCCCAATAATGTGTTTGTGTCCATTTCTTTTTACACTGAGTACAATACATTGTATCCTTTATTGAATGGACACTGCTCCACCATATTAGTGTTCTCAAAGACAAACTCTTCATTTGTGTACACCAAATCCCATATTTTTCGTAGTGTTTCAGCAACTTTTGGTAGGAACCTCACCAACCCAAAGTCACCTACATGTGCAATCATATCCTCATTGAGAAGAATATTGCTAGGTTTGAGGTTGCAATGAACTATTGGCGTCTCACAATGACGATGGAGATAATCCAATGCCATAGCAACATCAAAAACAATATTCAAACTCTGAGAAATTGTTAAGCTCCTTGGCCTCTCATTTGTCTCACCAATTGTATGAATTGGATATAGCCATTCCTCCAAGCTCCCGTTAGCCATGAACTCGTAAATTAAGGCCTTGAAGTCGTGACCGCGATAATCAAAACCAGAACATGCTGAGACTATCTTGACAAGATTACGGTGTCCAATATTTCGGAAAGCCTCGCACTCATAAATAAAACTTTTGTAAGCCCTGCTAAATGAACATGGTTGAGTACCTTGATCGCAATTGTAGTTTAACCTTGCTCAAGTATTCCCTTATAAACGGACCCAAAACTGCCCATACCGACCAAGTTGGTTGAGGAGAATCCATTTGTTGCTCTTAGAAGACTTTGGTATGATAGATCTGGGGAAGTTTGTCTAAATCACTTTAAGTGCGATCTTTTTTATCCCTCCGTGAGCAATAAAGGTACAAAAAGGTTAGTGCAAAAATAACTCCAAAAATCCCACAAATGAGAGAGAACCAATTTCATGGTTAAGCTCAATCCTTCCTTTTTTTGGATGCTGGAGAGTTGCACTTTGGCAAATGAAATTCAGATATGCCCCCAGAAAGCTTGCTATTTCCTTCAACTGATGTCGCCATTGCATTCTTGAACACTCCCTTGATCGGCAACATGCCCTCAAAATTGTTATAAGATAGATTCAGAGATTCCAAAAAATTCAAACGTTCTAAGAATTCTGGAATTGCTCCTGACAAGTCGTCAGAAAGATAGAATTCTGTAAGAACTCTTAGTGAACTCAAAGTTGATGGAATCGTCCCATGGAAGAAATTTCCATGCATGTCTAGGTACTCTAATTTTATACAACTAACTACACTTGCTGGAATTTCACTGAATAACATGTTTTCAAAGATATCTATATACTCAAGATTTATTAAAATTCCTACGTCCTCTGGTAGGGAGCCGAGAAAATGATCTTGAGGTAAACTAAATATATACAAGTTCAACAGATCAATGATTTCTTGCGATATGATACCACTAAAACTGTTCTCACCAAGATATAAAAGCCTCAAATTCTGACACACTATTAAACTTGGCAGGATATTGCCTGGAAGTTGTTGCCTTCTAAGCTTAACTCATTTAATTGACTTAAATTTCCGAAAGAGGATGTAAGATTGCCAAAGAGAGAGAGTTCCTACTCGCATTTAATAGATATAACTTGTGAACCTTTCCTACACCCGGGGGAATGTGACCTGATAATTGGTTCTCAGCATCCCCAAAACCTCCAAGTTAGCCAAATTTACAATCTCATTCGGGAAACTTATATTTTATTTTGTGCAAAATGGAAATCATTTATTTATTTTTATTTTTTTATTTCTGAACGGATGGAAATCATTTTTAGAAATTAGATGTGGAAAAACACAGAATCAATACATCCTTACAGAATCACAACTTACCTTCCAAATTGGACACAATGCAATAAGCAAGAATTGCAATGTTCTGAGACTTTTTCGGATCAAGCACACACCTAATTCAGAAAATTTCCCATAAAATTTGACAAAATGCAATAAACAATAATTAAATATCACTACTTACCTTCCAAAAGCGCAGACTTCATCAATGGTAACATTAGGCCCCCTCAATAAATTTCAAATTCTGCACACCAAATCAATCCGATCCAATGAGCAATAATATAATAAAAAGGCATACAGAGATCCAAAATGTTGAAATTACAATAAAAAATCAAATCATGCTTTAAAGAAATGCAACATATTCATGAAAAACTTGAAATTTTGAGAACAATTCGCTTCATTCATTAGAATCAAAGTAAGGAGATTGAAGCCAAAATTTGAAACAAAAACCATAATCGAATTAACTAAATTATATCACTTGAAAAGGATAATCATTAAGAAATAAAACGGATTGAGAAGTACAATCATGACCTACCCCCAACTGCTTCGAGAAGAATAATTGCGTCGATTGCTTAGCTGACAAAAGGGTCTCATCAGGTAATGGCACTCCAGTCAAATCTAAGCCAGCTCCACCAATAGGTACTTCTTCATACTTAAAATCAATCTCTAGTTTATGTAAACATATTCAGTTATACAAATATCCAAATGTTATATAATTACTAATTTCCCAACAAAATTTCTCGAATATACAACACACAGAGCAGCTCAAATTGTTAAACATTAACCCAAAGAAAATATGGGAAAATTAAAAGACTTTTCCTTTTAATTTTCCCACCGTTTCTCAGGCACCTGAAATAAAATTCAGAAAACGGAAGCAGAATTAAAAGAAACCATCGATGGAGGGGGCGAGGTTGAGGCCAATGCCATCGCCGAGAGGCAAAGTGATGGGGTAGCGTTTGGAGGGTGAGGCTGCAGAGCAACTGATCTTACCCACTCTGCTTTCATCGACCGCTAAACAGAGAAAAAGGAGACAAAAATATAAAATAAATAAAATAAATTCTCGTATAAATAAATTTGTAAAAGTGGGAAAATTGGCGGTGATTACAATTTGTAAAAGAAGCAACTAACCCTACCCACTCTGCTTCATCGATGGATAGCTCACTTGGTTTGCTAAAAATGTTGTATAAATAAATTTGAAACCCCTCATACCTTAAATTGGAATTTCGAAACTGAAAGACGAAGGCAAGACGACGACACGGTACGGTTTGCCGGCATTCGTACGAAAACAGCTCGCCGGAATTAGAAGACCTAGAACCTAGCCGCTTAGCACTTGAAATCGATTTGTTGGGTTCGAATTTTAAGTGTGGGAATTCGCTTTGCTGGTTTGAGGGTTTTAGGTTTCGAATATTTTTCTGTTAATTGCGAGCAACAGAGCTAAATGGGACGATGTTTTGCCAGATGAGGCGAAGAGGCGGAAGGAAGATTCACTCACTCCAATCCTCCAAGAACCCATAATTTTTTCAATCCTTGGAACCCTAGAAAAATCACCAGAAGATTAATTTCTTTGGTAAAGAATTTTTAAAAATCTAAAGTAGGACAAATTGCTTACCTTCCGTATAGAGGGTTATGGAAAATGCGAGGATGGAGTGGTGGTACGTCGCGGTTCTCGCGTGTTACATCGAATTTGGGTGAACAGGTGGAAAAGCAATTTACAGAGTTGGCGGTGGTTTTGTTTGATTGAAGAATCTCGTTGAAAAATGAGGAAGGCTATCGAAAATGGAGCACTGGAGCAGGAAGGCAGAGGTGCAGGAGATTGGGATGAGTCGATTCGTTCGATGGTGTGAAAACAGTTGATGTCGAATTCCATAAACCACCGAGAAAAGCATGAACGACAGCTCACAACACAGATACGCATGTTAACATGGGAAATTTCGTAATTTTACTGTGCATATGGAAAACCAAAGAGCAACTTGAACAATAATATGGGCGCAATTCCGTCTTTACACCGTGCTTAGGAACATTAAACCTGTTGCTGCTGCAATATTTCTATTTTGCAAATATTTGAGAAGAAGTTGATTGGTGTTAGTGTCGTGCCACTTTTACTTAAAAGTTGAAAAGAGTTTGAGTGGCAAAGCGTAGAGATAAAATTGTCTACTAGTTGATGAGTTTTGTAAGTCTTTTAGGATGTGTTTATTGTACCGGACTATCTCGGACTGAACTAGTTTTGGAGACTAAGTTTGACTGGTTTAGATTAGATTAAGTCAGACTAAGTTAGTGAACTGTTTGGTGCACTGTCGGACTAAAAAATAGAATAATTAATAAATTATAATATTATAATATTTAATATATGTCTAATAATATTAAATTATGAGTTCAAGCTTTTCCTTCTATACACTCTTCTACAGTTCTACGTCTCTCTAGAATACTTTCTTCCTCTTTGGTTTCATTGCCATTATTTCCTTTCCTCCCATCTTTTTTCCTTCAAAATGCTTCAAAGTTCAATTCCATTTTTTTCTGCAAAACACTTCAAAACCATATTCCCGCAAAATCATCTCCAAAGCTACTCTCTCTCCTCCCTCTCTATCTCTCCATCTCTTTTTATCCCCAAAGCTACTCTCTCCCCTTTCTCTATCCATTTTTCTCTGAAATTTTTTGGGAAAAAGAAAAATTATCTGGGAGATTTCTAGGAAGTTTCGGGAATAAGGAAGAATTTTTCTATTGAGATTGTTGTTGTTATTGTGTTGCTTTTACTTTTCAAATTTTGGTGGCTGGATTTTGAGATTTAGGTTGTGGGTGGGATTGAGTTTCAGATCCGGGCATGGGTGGGCAAACAGAGTTGCCCAGAAGCATGCTTGCAGACTTGCAATGCAAACATCGTATGTAGTTCTGGAAACGGGACTAGAAATCCCATGGTTTTTGAGGGGGTTCACTATGACCGGCTAATCCCATGGTTAATCGAGATAAGTGAAGGTTAGTGTCATTAACGTTAGTCTCAGTGGGTAACAAATAGGGGACCGGACTAACACTTAGTCCAGTCCAATCCAATGAGAGTTAGCAAGGGCAAACAAACGTGCCCTCAGTGTTTATCCTGACTTAGTACACTCCATTTGTTTATTTAAATGCATATATCTAGGATATTTTCATAAGATGTCGATGTGTAATTAAAGTTAAATAAAATTAATTGTATAATCTAAGGATTTATACGACAAATTTTTCATATAGGAATTAAAGTTATACATATGTAATTCTAAGGATTTATCTATATGAGCTATTAATCACTTGAACATATACCAGATTCAGTCAGCATGTATAATCTTAAAAGTATTATTCCTAATTTCTTAATTGTTGAAAAATAAGGCCTTGTTTGGTCTCTAGGATTGGAATGGAATGGTTAAACTACTGTATTCATGGTATATTAAAGATAGAGGTGAATGCTTTTTCATATTGAGGGGATTAGAAGGGGAATAAGACATGATGGAAAATAACCCCTTCTGATCCTTACCATTTTGGCAAATTGGAATGGAAAATAATCCATCTCCTACCTTCAAGTAACCCACAAATTTTTCATTTCTTTCGTCAACATTCCTTGAATATAGTGGGTTGTCCATTTCAATCCAATCTTAGAGACCAAATGAGGTCACAATTTTTTCATTTCTTTCCTGAACATACCTTGGATATAGGTCATATCTATCAACATGCTTCAAATGTCTTAATTTACAACTTTCTTATATTTACCACTTTTAAATATAGGTTACATGGCTTGATAACATTGTACATATGCACTGCACCGAACATAGATAAAAGGGGAAAGTTTCATGTCTGCACATGTGCTCCCTAAGCTGTTTTAGTGAAAAATTGCATGTCTGTACCTTTATTCCTTCATTTATCTTCCTGTTTAAATTATGAGCCATCTATTAAATTTTCTCAACCCTTAAGATGTTTGCAGCTTCCTTACCATGGTATTACACTTGGGGCTGCATGGTCTGAACTGTTCGTTGACCATAAAGGAAAATACTGGGATTTGCCTGAGTCAATTTCCTTAGATATGTCATCACTTGTTTCCGAATCTGGATTGCGGTACCGCATTGGTGTACATAAAAACATCCAGGCAGTTAATTCCGTAGATTCTGCGCAAGGGCTGCCATTTCTTATGAAAAAAGCCAAGATATTTGGAGGCAAAATGAGACACGAAAAGACATCATGATACATAAAGAAAAGGGTTGATTTTGGCGGCCATCTTATGATGTACGTCTTAAAAAACCTCATTCTTCAGTAATCTTGAACTTTTGGTAATTTTACACGTTATTTATATTTTTTGTGATAACTTGTATTATCTCATTACATTTTTGTTGGAAGTTTCATACCAATACTCAGGTGCAATATCGTATAACATTTAGCTTATACATTTGCCTGTTTTTATACATGTATACATGTTTTGGTACCTCTTAGTGTCACTTATATTGTATGTGTAGTTTTTTACTTTAGTATTAAACCCAGTACATGTAATGAGTATGTCACCTCCTTTCATCTGTTCCGTGGTTGTAGATGTGCCTGCAGTAAAAGAAACATCATAAATAATAGTAATAAAATATAATTCTAGAGACAAAAGTTCTAACGGAACGATTCAATATTTTTGTTTTGTGTTTATGAGTCCAAGTCTGTTGCCGACAGTATGCAATCTCTTAGAGCACTTTCAGCGTTGGCTTTTGCTAGGGGAACAGGCCAGCAAACAAGGCCCGAGGGCCCGGCCTATTGACTCCAGTGTGTGGGAGCCCGAGGGACAGGGCAGGCCCGAGCACCAAGCCTGTCACGAATTGCCAGCCGTGAGCCCAAAGGCTATCTGACGCAAGGCTGACGTCAGCTAGGCGTCAACCCCTTTTTTATTTTTTTTCTTTCAGGTGCGTGCACTGCACCCGCGTGTGGGGGCGCGTCACCCGACATGTTTTCAGCAAATGGGGCCCGCGACGCAGTTTCAAATTGTTACCGTTGGGAAGCCATGTGGCTTCCCATGGTCCATTGGATCTCAACGGCAAGAAAATGTGGACCATCAGATTTGCAACGGTAAAAAACATAAAAAAATCTTATTTAATATCAACCGTTGGATTTGAGATCAATGGTTGATACTATTCTCCTTTATAAATATAAAAAAAAGGTTTTAAAATTCAGAAATGTTACCGTTGTGCCACGTGGCACAATCTGGAGCGTTGGAATTCAATTTTTAAAAAATCCAACGGCAGAGATTAATTAGTTGAATAAAAAAAAATTAAATTGTAAAAAATGAATAAAAATCCAAAAAAAAAAATTTGAAATTAAATTTTTTTTTTTTTTTTTTTTTTTTTGTAATTTTCTATAAATACTTTTCATTATCATCTACCTTACACCACAGCTTCTATCAAGGTTTCTAGAACGACTGGGCCATCATATCTAACCCATAGCTTGGATGACTCGACGGGAATGTGAGGCTCTACCCATTCTTGCTTTGTCATCTCTCATTTTACGCTCCTCATCCTATTCTTTCTCATTTTGGGCCACTTGGAGATTGAACATTTCTTCAGATTGGTTAAACAATTCTTCCTCTTACTAATCGATTTCCCACATCATCCTTGAAGAAGAAGACATTGTAAAAATGAATCAGAAACTATGAATAATGATAGAGATTTTGGTGAAGAGGGAAGTAGAAACTATGAATAATGATAGAGATCTTGAGAAAATTGGTATGAGATTTGTGATGATGGATGGTGGATTATATAGAGGATTCAGAAAGGATTAGGTTGTAGATAATGCCACGTGGCATGTCGTCATTCGTTAAAAATCTGATGGAAATCTATCCTCAAAGACTGTAAATAGATTATGACACGTGGTGTGACGTGATTGTTTAATAATCTTATCGGAAATCCATCACCAATAATTGCATTTTCGAATAATGACACGTGGCGCAACGAGTACGATTAAAAATCTTATCGGAAATCCTTCATCAATAATTGTCTTTTCAGATTTTATGACACGTGGCGCAACGATAACGATTAAAAATTTTATCTGAAATTACAAATAAAATTATTTTATATTATTTTATTTTATAACTTTTCAGATAATAACACGTGGCGCAACGAGAACGATTAAAAATCTTATCCGAAATTACAAATAAAATTATTTTGTATTATTTTATAAATAAAAAAAATAATAATATTTTATTGCCCATTGCCAGAGCTATTGAAATGCAACGGTGGAGATGCAAAAGGCGATTACTGTTCATTAAGGGTAATTACTGTTCACTAGGTGAATAACATAGTATATTACCTGGGGGGTTCCATGCTGGAAGTGCTCTTAAGTTTTTTACTTTACCATTTCCTGATGTTTGCACCAGAGAAGACCAGATACAAAATTCTATAATTGTAAAAAATAATGGGTTGTCAACCTAGTCATTGTTAGTGATATAGTTCCCTTTTATTTGGAAAATGAAATCGTAATGCCATATCCCACTTTTTCTTCTAGTCAATGGTGGCATTACATTTTTGGTGAAAGCTGCACTGCCTGGTTTCAGGATGGGTACAACCCAGTGGCGGTTGATATGAAGGGAGACGAGGACAATTCTAGGAGCAATAAGAAGAGAAATCCATTCAGTGCTGATTTTTCCGGCTCTCTCTGCTATACTTTCCAGCACGGGAAATTTATAGAACTCTACGGTGATCTAACCAGGATTGATTCTCGTCTGGATATTTGTTCAGCTTCAGCTTTGGCTAAAAGGGTTATTTATGGTTTGAAGAGTTCCCCTGCTAATAGTGCAAAAGATCCGGTGTCCTCCGCTAGGATCAATATAATCCTTCAGTAGCAGCTATTTCTATTTATACCTTAACTGTCTAAATGTTGTGCACCTTAAGTTGGAAGAGAATTTTTAAATGCAGATATGCACAATATGTTACAAAATCCGCATAGTCATTTGCTAATTGGTACTTGTGGAAGCGCGTATGTAACATCCTACATCGAC